TCATCTCTGTTGATATGTTGCGCAGAACCTTAACGTGACCGGTGCTGTTGATAATGTTGAAATGATAAACTGTAGACTAACGAAGCTATATTATGTAACATAAGGATGATTATTTTTAAACTAATCAAAGTTAACAGCTGTTCCAGAAGTACGCGCCAGAAACAAGAAGAGGAGGGATGTTGTGTCGGAGGGCAGGGCAGATCAGCCCTACAACATGACGATCCTTGGCTCAACCGAGGAAATACCAGACTTCCGCTTCAAGCTAAAGGACGTCTGTGCCAAGATGGGCGAGGAGGGTGGGAAGAAGGGTATGAGAAATCTCTGTGATTCGTTACTTTATTGTGTTATGTATGTATGTATGTATTTCACAATGTGGGGCCCGTCATCAGCTCAGCTGCCAGGGCTTCCACTGTATTGTTTGCAATTTAAATAAATAAAATAAATAAATAAATAAATAATAAGTTGTCGTTCCGGGAGGGCATCTTCACGGCACTGTCCTTCTGGCTGGAGGCCCGGGAGAACGCCGACGCTGCTCGCGGACTGTGAAGAACTGGGTCCAGCCGGCTCTCCCTGGAAGCAGAAGAACGCGGCCAGCCCGAACACCATGGACGAGCCCATCTTCTTCACTACCCCGACCGGTATTTCCTGCCTCGCGTCCAGTGTGCTCGACCACGCCATCAAGTGCCCGGAGGCAATGTGCAAAGTTCTAGACAAGTCACAACTCGCAGCCGAGGAGGGCTCCACGCTGCTGACAGAGATCGTGGCGCTGGTGACGCAGTTCGAGGCCGTGGTCGAGGCCGGGGAGGACGGGGAGCCAGACGGGGGCGTGGCCAGGGACAGGGAACACGTGGAAGCGGTGGTGCAGGCCCCTCAACATCCGAGCGGGACGCTGCGGGGCCCTCAACAACGACCAAGATGAAGATAACGCTGTACAGGGCGCTGTAAACAGATTGCCAAATTGCCAATTTTTGCCCAATCATCTCTCGCAATCGCATCGTCAAGAACAGCACATCCTTACACAGCATTTGGCAGGCAGTCCGACTGAACTACGGTTTCCAATCCACGGGGGATATTTCCTAGACATAGCGAACATTACACTTGAACCCAATGAGCGCCCAGAGGACCTATTCCAGCGCTTGAGCGCACACCAAGATTTTTTGGCGTCTTGGGGATTTCAAATGTTCGTTGTCATAGCAATGATTGAAAAACAGCGTTTGCATCTTAATTACAGAATCTAGTAGATCTACCATTTATCTCATTGTTATATTCCCTATTCGAAAGACTGGCTCTGAGCTCGAGTCTGACTCTGAAAAGGCAAATGTGCAGGTCAACCGTGAAGACGACAGCTGGGACGACTTTGGCTACTGCAGATGACGTGTCGACCTGTTCAGGGTCCCTGCCAGACACCCCTCCAACGGGGAACAGATTTCACCCGTTACGTGCGCAAGAGGCAATACTTGATCTTTTATCGTGTTGTGATCTCCCCGGTTTAGAAATCGCTTTTGAAATTTTGAAAACAAATCCTTGTATCCCCTTCGGGTAGTATTTGTACTAATGAAAAATCATATAAAGAAGGGGATCACACATTCGTTAGCACCAATGTGTGTTTCATTTTCCAAAAGTATGAAAGGCTTAACTCTTTGGGTACAATTGTTTCAGACAAGGACAACTGGAAGCTATACAGTGTTCGAAAAAAAAACGAGACGTTAACCTTTACTGGCCGACTGGAAGTGGGAAAAGTCACATTCATAGGTCTTTAGCATTGTTATCACACCAACCATGTCACTGATGGTAGACCTGACTGAACAGATAAACAAACTTGGATTTTGAACGGCGCCTTTCAGCTTGCTTCCTTGGAACAGCCCAAAAACACAGGTGTTGAAAATGAAATGAAAGCAGATAAATACAACGTTGTCTACCTGACTCCAGGAAAAATTGTTGCACTTGAGAGTGAACTTGAAGACATTAAAAAACAAAAGGAAATTTGTCTGTTCGTCTTGGTGGAGATACATTGTAACCAGCAATGGAAGTCATTTAGACCGGAGTTTAACATGTCATTTAACACCTCCACCACCTTCTTCCCCCCAAATGATACTACTAGTATAGTTTGCCACAGTAGCTATAGGATCTGCTTGGAGATTATTCTAGGGGTGCACTATGTAACATTTAGACAATACAAACATCTCTCTGGTCAAGTAAGTTCAAGGACATTATTATATATCCATTAATGATTTTGCTATTAAAGGCTATTAAAAGTTCAAATCAAAATCCCTTCGTTTTGCTTTTACAGCGAGTCTGTCGTAACTCATTCACATGGAGGTCCATCACAAACAACAAAGACCTCGGAGGTCGGAAGCTGAACAGGCTGGAGATACACGGATACAGGGATGATATTTCCTTCCACAGCGTAACTACTGAACAAGGCCAGGATTACAGACATCCCATAACTGTGCTTTTT